ATGTAACTTTGTGCGTGACTGCCTGTAACTGTGTGTGTTTGTGGCTGTAACTATGTGTATGACTGTCTGCCTGTGACCGTGTGTGTGACTGTATATGTGACTGTCTGCCTGTAACAGTGTGCATGACTGTGTGTAACTGCTTGTAACTGACTGTGTGTGTGTAACTCTCTACCTGTAACTGTGTGTATGACTGCCTGTGACTATATGTGTGGCTGTCTGCATGTGACTGTGTGCGTGTGACTGTCTGCTTGTAACTGTGTGTGACTGTCTGTCTGTAACTGTGTGTGAGTGGGTGCAGGGATTTTGTAGAGGGGGGCAGGGGTTTTAAAAAGTTTACAAATTTGTTCAATAAATGTTTTTAAAAATGTAAAAAATATAACTCATTTTAAAAATTTAGTAGTTTTTTTTTTGGAGAAGCGGGGGAGGGGGGGGGGTGGTTAGGAGAGTGCCAAACCCAGGACCCGCCCCGGGTGCCACATGCCCTAGGTACGCCCCTGACTGTAACAAAGCAATTTTGTTGTGTAGGTCATGCCCATGCACTCTCACTGCTCAATTCTCTGCCATTTATGAGTTAACTCACTTTATTTACACAGTCCTAGTCACACCTCCCTGCATGTGACTTGTACATCCTTCCTTAACACTTCCTGTAAAGGGATCTAATGTTAAAACTTCCTTTATTGTACATTCTGTTTAATTTAGAATGACTTGTTTCCTGCTCTGTTAATAGCCTTTTAGATCCTACAGGAGCCTCCTGTATATGATTAAAGTTCAATTTACAGAGCAGGACAAAGCAAGTTAACATCTGGTTGAAAATGAAACCATTTTTTTCATTTAGGATGTTTGAGTCACAGCCAGGTGGCTAGGGCTTCATGAACTGAAATAAAAAAGTGATTTAAATCCTAATCGACAGTGAATTGAGTAGTGAGAATGCAAATAGAATTACAACACACTAGCAGAAAAACACATAAAGGCAAACATTGATATGAAACAAAAACACAGGCCCACTGCCATATAAAGTATTCAATAAAAATACAAAAATTGGTATTAAATTACAGACCCATCATAATTAGTGTGCGATGGTAATGCCTTTCAGCATTGTTAGGAAAAAGTGTAGTTGTACTTTGAAAACAACACAATAGATAGCTGATGGCCTCAAACTAAGTACAGGAAATTGAACTCTAACTAAATCAGACGTTCTTTGTATTACGCTACATTTGTTTTATAATGATACATATAACAGAAATATATATTTTTAATGGCCGATAAAAGCCAATTAGCCTTTTTAGTTAGACAATTTTCTTTAAATAGTACATACATTATTCTTGCTTTTATTTCCTACTCAAAACAGCTGTATATCGTCAAACCCATTAGACTTCTTCCCCTGTATTAGTTTAGTAAAACTAATATATTCTATATTATACCTACATTTATCTCCCTTTTCATTTTGCTTTAATCAGTTTTTAATTATCATCTGTCTACAAAATGCAAGATATTGAGAGTTTTTAGTCTTTCTTGAAATGTACTAATATCAGGGCTCATTGGTAAGTGAAAATTCAGTCCTATTGAGTGGAAATTCGAAATTCAGCCCTGACAAGTATGCCATGGACCATACGCTGCGTATACGTGAGGATACTCAGTGGGTTTTTTTATGCGCAATCCTATTAACCATTGAAGCACAGCTGAGATGAGGTGCTATCAAGTATGGTATTAATGGGTAACTAGACCACTTTGTCTCAATAAAGTAGTCTGGGTGCAGTGTCTCTGCTTTTTGCAGTGTCTCTGTTTTTTGCAGTGTCTTAGTTTTTTTTAGAAACTGTAATGTTTACATTGCAGGGTTAAGCCCACCTCTAGAAGCTGTCATACTTAAAATTTGGTCATGTAACGTGAATGCCCTATAGGAAAGCAATGATTCCCCGGGCATACACACTAGGTCCTAAATGCTCCTCTCTGAGGAATATTGGATTGGATTGGAGAAGGTAAGCAGCACTGAGAGACCATCAGCGTTGGAAAAGGGTGAGTAAAACATATTTTTTTTTACTTTTCATGTATGTTTTGTATTCCTAATTCCTATAGTGTTCCTTAAACAATGAAAGTGACACTGTTGGTTTAAAACTTCGTAAAGATTGTATAAATCTGCTACAACAGCACTGACCAAACTCAAGCCCCATACAGAAGGGAGAGAGTATGAGGAACAAGTTCCTCCTACATGAAAATGTAGCTATCAGTTAATTATGTATTGATCTACAAACTTCCCTGTAATTCATTTTAAAATCAGAAGTCATGTTACAGAAGGGCAACTGCACTAGCTGCTACTCTGTCCATTTCCAGAGATCAAATAAGAGAAGCTTTGTAGTGGTGAGTATCATTTTAGCCTGGCTAGTAGTATAATACATGATCCCCTCTGTTATTTAGGGTTTGTACTCATCAAATAGCTGTTGATTTTTGCTTTTCTGAAGTTAATTTTAATTTTAGTAGAATGTGACAAAACAATGTAAATCAGGTTTCACAGATGATATATGAATTAAAATCAGACTTTTTTTTCCTGATTGTTGATCCCTCTCCCGATATTCTCTGTATTCTGCTGAGATATCCTCCTGTTTTGTTACGTTGTATCCAGACATTTACGTTTCTGTTTGCTGTTTAATTTCCTTTTTTATTCTCGTACAAAATTACTATAATCAACCAAATTGCAAATGACCTAGCTTTTTATCTCAATGGAGGTGTACCGTGCTACTATAACATCTGTCTCACTCACTAACATCGAATATGCAGTTATATCTCATGTGGTTAATGCGTTTAAAAAAATGATTTAAATTTTTTATAGCTACATTTATTGTCTTGTTGTTATTTGAAACTACTACGCCCTCAGGATTACATGTTCTTGAAGTTCATACCAGAAAAAAAAAAAAGAACGATAGTATTTTATTAATGGTAGTACATCATTTTATTTTTCACCCAGCCATACTCACAGGGCTCTTTATGATACATTATTGTGTATGGAGATTGTTTTACAATTCTTTTACCATACATCATTAACAATGCCAAATAATATTTAAGGCTCAATCATGTATATTTGCCTTTTCTCGCTGCGCTGTTGCTGCACTCGGTTTTATTTATGGAAGACTGTGACAAGGGACATTTTGTTTAAGGGATTTATTTTTGTATTGTAAATATCGTTTTAAAATGTGTTTGCTTAGTAATGATTAACCGCTTTTTCTGAATAAACTAAATCATTACATTGTTTTCATTATACTTTCTTTAGAGAATGCTAGACTTTGTGTACCTTTCCATTTTATAGTTTCTGTGCAAAATTTCTTTTTCTTCTAATATCATGGAAATTCCCCAAATCCGTTAAACAATATAACTTTATTAAAATTTAGGCTCACCTCTTGGACAGCATAACAACTGTCTGCTTAGCCCTTGAATGTTTGATTAAATTCTAACTATTATAAATATTTATGTTATAATATACCGTCTTTTAGTTTGCAAATCATTTATATTGATTATAGATACACTTCTCCCAGCCAATGCATGTTATTTTGCAACCTTCAGTTTCTTTTCAAAATTCTGTATACTTTCTGCCAGCAGTATTTTCTTACAGGCAATTCTGAAAAGAAAATCGATGATTTCAATAGAGTAAACAAATAGTGGACATTGGGTCAGATAATGGACCGATTGACACATGGTACATAAATATAGCTAGCAGAAAGAGAGAGTGGGAAAGGTAAGTAATTGATCCCTCCCATTATTTCAATACACATGAGATAAACAAAATGATATGGTATTTTTTATCATGAAGATTATATCAAAAGCAAGTGATGACAGCCATTGTTATGCTACAAGGGATTTTAGAATTGGAACTCAACTGCAGCTTGTAGAACTCCTTAATTACAATAGCAAGAAAGCGGAGAATTATTAAGGATACTGTAGCTTTAAAGCAAAGTGGTGGATGCAGGCAGTTAGCGAAGAGAGCGGAGTCTTAATGAATGCAATAATATTTTAGTAACTGAGAATTATAGCATGCAAATAACAATGCATTAGGAAGGAACTGCAGGTTATATCAAGCAAGAAACAGTTCATTAGTAATTAAATCTTCAGAGGTGGAAGTGAATAGTATACTTAAGATTGATGGGAGTTGTCCTCCATGGGAATAGCATGTAAGTAACAATTCATTAGGAAGTAACTGAAGATTATAGCAAGCATGAAACAGTTCATTAGTAAGTAAGTCTTCAGAGATCAGAGTAATTAGTATACTTAAGATTGATGGGAGTTGTCCTCCATAGGAATGTATAGCTTGAATCAAAGGGATAAATTATATACACAGTCCGGTTTTCAGGAGACTCCAATACAATCCGTGGTCAGAGGTACAGAGAAGGCAAAATCCTTTATAATAGATAAAGGTTTGGTAATTTTGTGAACGAAGAGCTTAGCCGGCGTTTGAATGCGGAAGTAGGTCCGAGAATCACCAAACAGTTTGAATCTGGCGCGGTCTTTCTATATAGCGTAAGAGAGCCGCGTCAGAAAGAGGGCGGGGCCGGCTCCGCATACCAGAAACGCCGGAATGGAGCTGGAACTGACAGCCATCCTTTAATGACAGTGCGAGCATATATTATGATTAGGATACCTGCTTTACTCACTTGGTTCCATTATATTTCACACAGAATACGTTTTTGTTTGTTTTGTTTTACTGTGCATGTATGGAATTTTTCAATCACCATTTGAAACAGCCTCGATAAATACTGTTTTGGGGAAATTTGTAAAGAAATAGCTTATTGTGATATTTCCCACATCTCGTGAGTTGGACACATGCTTGACATGTTCCTAGATTCCTAAATAACTGAAATTGTTATTTACTTATTTATTATTTCTATTTGTAGACAAATTGATTTACAGACTATATTAAGAATACTTCATGGGCACAGGTTAGTGATATATACTATATATATATATATGTATGTGCATATATAATTCCATAGACTAGGGCAGGGATAGGCAGCCTTCAGCACTCCAGATGTTATGGACTACATCCCCCATAATGCTGTTACTCCCATAATTCTGGCAAAGCATCATGGAAGGTGTAGTCCAAAACATCTGGAGTGCTGAAGGCTGCTTATGCCATGGACTAGGGGTAGGAAACCTTTGAATGCCAGATGTTGTGGACTGCATCTCACTGATGCTATGCCACCAATATGACTGTAAGGGCATTGTGGGAGATGTAGTCCACAACATCTGGAGTGCTATCCCTGCCATACACCATAATATTCCATATGATAACATTTTAATTTCTTCCCTCCCCTGACCTGTTTTAGAAGTAATTGATGTGTAACCAAGTCATGTAAAAAGTGGCACAATTAAAGTTTGTCTTCAGTAATATACTCTTGAGATATGGTAAATAAATGGCAGATACCCTAAAACCTTTTAATGATTTCTCAACACTAGATCACAATGGTGTTAGTTAGGTTAGGAATAGAGTTGAGCAAACTGTAAAGTTCGGGTTCGTACCGAGCATTACGGTTTTTGGACCCTGGACCCGAAAACACGGACATATCACTGTATGTTTGGGTTGGAGTTTGGAGCTCGGTGTTCAGCGATTTAATGGTGCGTTTTCAAAGGCTGCAGGGCAGACAATCAACAAGCGTTTGACTTGTGTGCCCTTAGAAGCCATCACAGCCATGCCTACTAATGGCATGGCTGTGATTGGCCAGTTCAGCATGTGACCCAGCCTTCATACATAAGCTGGAGTCGCGTAGCGCCGCACGCACATGAGGTCTTATTAGTGTAGGGAGAGGATGCTGCAGCTGTGAGGGACAGTTTATGAAAGAATTCTGCAAACTAGTACATTAGTGGGGTGCACTTCATGTCTGAGAGTCAAATAGAAGCTTCAAGTACTGCAGTTACATTGGAGTTTTAAAAATTCTATTTTTTTTGGTGCTAAATAGTACATTAGTGGGATAGTACATTAGTGGGGTGCACTTCCTATGTGAGAGTCAAATAGAATTGTCAAATACTGCTGTCACATTGCAGTTTTAAAACGTAAAAATCTTTGGGTGCTAAATTCTAAAAAAATGTCCATATGTCCTTTGCAGACTTTACATGCTGGAAAAACACAGGTGCCAACTGCTGTGGCTTTCTGCAGTGTGCATACCGGCAAGGAGGGCAGGGTTGAGGAGTGGGTGGAAGATGATGTGGAGGATGATGAGGTTCTAGACCCCACATGGAATCAAGGTCATGCGAGTGAAGTGTGCAGTTTGGAGGAAGAGGCGCTGGTCGCACAGAGGCACAAGCACAGCATAAGAGAGAGCAGGGTGCAAAAGCGGAGTGGCCGGCCCCTAGCACTCATCGGCATGTATTAGCTCGAGAATTACCAGGGTCTTGTGAAGGGTAACTGCACGCCCCCTGGTGTTGAGCACCAGCGTTTGTGCTGCCACATACCAGGACTCTGGAGTACTGGATACCAGTAGCCATCACCAGACTGATCCGCAACTTGGAACAGGATGTGACATTCACTGTAGCGGCTGTGCGCACTTTTGGTGTTCTCAGCCTGCTGCTGTTCGCCTGTCTGCGCTGCAGCGTAACTTCGACCTTCACGCTCACCGCCTCATGAGACTGTGCGATCAGCAGCAGGCGATAGTGGAGTTTCAGCTGCAGCATGCACGGGTCAGCGGCTCTGCACCAGACTTCTCTCCAATTGATCAGAGTTAAAGGATTTCAAGTGGACTCATTACAATTACAGGGCCTCTAAAGAGTCCTGTATTGTTATTTGTCGTCACTACCTTCCTGCGTCGGGAGTGGGACATTCGCATGCCTGCTGCCTTCCTTGCATGTGGTAGCCATTTGTCAGGGTCCCTGTACGGAATGGAACCCTGATTCCCCATTACCCATGGTCACCATGGTAGGTGTAGAAACTAGCATCGGAAGTTGATATGGATTTGCCAGAGGTTCTCTAGAGTCAACAAAGTTCCTGCGCAACTGTAATGTCAACAGCTACTCTGCGACAGAGTTGTCTTTTTTTATATGTCCCAATATTTGGGGGGCTACCCCAATTAAAATATATATATATATATATAAAAACAGTGTTGGCTACCTCATCCTCCTCCTCCACCGCCACGGTCACTGCCTCCTCAAGCTATGAGTCACTTAGTATAAACTAGGTACACATTAGCAGAGGCTTGTGAAGGCCTTTTCTCCATGCATCAGGAGTAGAGCATTTCTCCATGCATCAGGACTGCAAGAAATGCACCACAGGCCGCAAATGTTTCTTTTTTTATATGTCCCAATATTTTGGGGGCTACCCCAATTACAATAAAAAAAAAAAAAATTATATATATATATATATATATATATATAAACAGTGTTGGCTACCTCATCCTCCTCCTCCACCGCCGCTTCCACCTACACCGCGACGGTCACCGCCTCCTCAACCTATGGGTCACTTAGTATAAACTATGTACACATTAGCAGAGGCTTGTGAAGGCCTTTTCTCCATGCATCAGGAGTTGATCATTTTTCCATGCATCAGGACTGCAAGAAATGCATCGCAGGCCGCAAATGTTTCTTTTTTTGTATGTCCCAATATTTTGTGGGCTACCCCAATTAAAAAAAAATATATATATAAAAAACAGTGTTGGCTACTTCATCCTCCACCACTGCTTCCACCTACACCGCCACGGTCACTGCCTCCTCAAGCTATGGGTCACTTAGTATAAACTATGAACACATTAGCAGAGGCTTGTGAAGGCCTTTTCTCCATGCATCAGGAGTTGAGCATTTCTCCATGCATCAGGACTGCAAGAAATGCACCGCAGGCCGCAAATGTTTCTTTTTTGTATGTCCCAATATTTTGTGGGCTACCCCAATAAAAAAAAAATATATTTTGATTTATGTTCTTCCAAAGCTAAAATCAAAGATTCCATCTAGTGCTATTTTATGGCTCAGCTATATTTTTAATTTTTATGTTATTTTAAGTGATTTCCTTATCCACATTTGTTTGCAGGGCACTTGTCCTACTCTTACCCCCATTTTACTTTGCATCTCTCTAGCCCTTTCCAGGAGTTTTTTAGAGGCATTTTTCTGGCCAAAAGTTCGGGTCCCCTCTGACTTCAATGTGGTTCAAGTTCGGGGTCAAGTTCTAGCCCGAACCCGGACTTTTTTTTCAAAGTTTGGCTGAACCCGCCGGACCCGAACATCCAGGTGTCTGCTCAACTCTAGTTAGGAATACTGCAAAAACGTGGATATGCCTGCTAACACTAATAGCAATTCTCTCAACAAAAATAGTCCACAATTTAATAAAACATATCATTTATTAAAGTTGGCTAAAAAAGGAAAATGGGGACATAGCAGCAAAAAAAAAAACATAGAAGCATCTCCCAGAGTAATAACCTAATGTGTTTATTGCCACATGGCACTTAGTGTTAGGCAGGGCCGCCATCAGGGGGTGATAACCATGACGGTTGTGGAACGGCGAATCTGCCGCAGGTGCATCTGCACCAGGGCCCATTAGGTGCTGCTGGGAGGAAGTGATGGCCAGCTTACTCCGTGTAGGGGGAGAGACAGCCGAGAAGAGGAGAGGCATCTGCTCCCATCATCCCGAGCCACCCTCCTGCAATGAAAAGGTAAGGAAAAGGTGGGTGGCTGATAAATGAGGTGTGTGTATATGTATGTGTCTGCATGTATGTATGTATGTGTGTGTGTGTGTGTGTGTGTGTGTGTGTGTGTTTGTGTGCGTATGTCAGCATGTATGTATGTATGTATGTATATATCTATCAGTATATATGTGTGTGTATGTATGTATATATCTATCAGCATGTATGTGTGTATGTATGTCAGTATGTATATATGTCTGTGTGTGTGTGTATGTGTGTGTATGTATGTATGTATATATCTATCAATATGTATGTGTGTGTGTATGTCAGTATGCATGTATGTCTGTGTGTGTATGTATGCCAGTATGTCTGTATGTATCTGTGCATGCATATATCTATCTGTGTGTGTCTGTATGTACGTATGTCATTATGTATGTGTATGTATTCCATTATGTATGTATGCTTGTCAGTATGTATTTATGTGTTTGTTTGTATGTATGTCTGTTTGTCAGTATGTATGTATGTCTGTATGTATGTGTGTGTGTGTCAGTATGTGAGTATGTATGTGCGTCAGTGTGTGCCTCTATGTCAGTATGTGTGTGTATCTGTATCTCCTTATGCATGTGTATGTGTCTGTATATGTGTGTGTGTCTGTTCCAGTATGTGTGTGTCAGTATGCCTGTATGTGTGTATGTCTGTTTCAGTATGTGTGTCTGTTAGTATGTGGGTATCTTTCTGTGTGTGTCTGTGTCCTTTTGTGTCTGTGTGTGTGTATTCCTGTGGGCGGGAATTGGAGGCGGGGCTTGGAGGCAGGCACCTGGGGGCCCAGACCTTGAGCTGTGTTAGGGGCCCCACAATTTCTGATAGCGGCCCTGGTGTTAGGCATAACATGCTACTGGGATACTTAAATGTACATCCCAATGGCAAGTTAATCAGGGTTAAACATTAACCTTCTATCTACCGAAATATAGGGAGAGTGAACGAGACATTCCAAACCAACCACCATTAATAGGAATATAGAATAGATAAATATAAGACATAATCACTGATGAAAGATAAAAGAACAAAATCCATTAGCACAAATAAAAAACACACCTAGAGAGATGCTTAAAGGACCACTCTAGGCACCCAGACCACTTCAGCTTAATGAAGTGGTCTGGGTGCCAGGTCCTTCTAGGGTTAACCCATTTTTTCATAATTATAGCAGTTTCAGAGAAACTGCTATAATTATGAATGGGTTAAGCCTTCCCCCTAATCCTCTAGTGGCTGTCTCATTGACAGCCACTAGAGGCGCTTGCGTGCTTCTCACTGTGATTTTTCACAGTGAGAGCACGCCAGCGTCCATAGGAAAGCATTGTAAATGCTTTCCTATGAGACCGGCTGAATGCGCGCGCAGCTCTTGCCGCGCGTGCGCATTCAGCCGGCGGGGCGTAACGGAGGCGGAGAGGAGGAGGAGAGCTCTCCGCCCAGCGCTGGAAAAAGGTAAGTTTTTACCCCTTTCCCCTTCCAGAGCCGGGCGGGAGGGGGACCCTGAGGGTGGGGGCACCCTCAGGGCACTATAGTGCCAGGAAAACGAGTATGTTTTCCTGGCACTATAGTGGTCCTTTAATAGAGAATGCATAATTCATAAACACATAAAGAAAAGGCATTTCAGTGCAACAATGACTAACCAGTGAATTCAATTCAGCAGTCAAAAGCTGAATTAGTATACACTGTACATTGTTATACGTGACTGTATTTACACATATGAAAATATAGATTTTGTTATAGTTACAAGCTGAGAATCAGTGTAGAAAAGAAAAAAAATACTATGATACTTTTAAAAGTAACAAATTAATTTTTTTCTAAAAGCAAGAAACTTAATAAAAATTTAATGGTCTGAAGAAGAAAAGATAACAAGGGGGGCCATGTGGCTCCTAATGTAAGGCCAGCCTGACAATTTAATTTGCACACCACTTAATCACTGATACTATGGAGAGATAATATGAAAAGCTGTAGATGGAATCATACCTTTTGTGCATATAATTCCATTACCTCTGCAATTTTCATAGTTGTTCCTATCACTGTGTTAATCTGAGACTATTGTCTTTGAGCTACCCAAATGACACCTTCTCTCAATTGGTAAATAATTTAAATATTGAGGAAAAAAAAACCATAAAAATAATTGGGTACTTAAAACTCGCTATTGAGGCCAGAAGGTCTACAAGTGTGTAACTTGAAAATCTAACTTCACAATAGTCTTAAATTCACAATAATCCAACTTAGATGTGCAATCACCACCCCTATATGTTTTCACACTCCTACCAATGACTTGAACAGACAATTTAGATGCATCTGAATTATTGCACATAAAGAAGGGAATTGCTATCGAGTATCAACATCATTGCATTCAATGGCATTCATGTTTTCTCATACCCTGTGTTTTTTAGTGGTCTCATAGTTTGACCAACATATTGAATAGAGCAAGACTGACTTGTTCATAAGTAAATTACAAAGAGAGCAATTAATGTATTGTCTAATTTGAAAATGTTCATTGGCTACTGAACAACTAAACTCTTTGTCTAATTTAATAACCGAGCAGGTTTTACATCTCGAAGCTCCACATTTAAACATGCAAACATAGCAAAGCCAAGTAGATATCTTAATAGTGGCTAAAAGTGACTAAGTTAGGGGATACTTATTGAGGAAGGTTGGGAGCTTGTCAGGCTACTGTATCTCAGAGCGGGCAATATGTTTAATTCTGCAGTCACCAAATAGAACAGGATGATATTTCTTGGCAATATTACATATTTCTCTATATTGTAAGATGTAATCAGTAATGAACAAAGGTGTTTGGATATTTTTTTTTTAGCCCTGGGTACCTTATCCTCCAAAAGGGTGGATCAGTTGGTTTCCAAAGTGCATGGAAATGTATTGGAGTAACTGATTTCACTGAATATTTGTGGAGTAAATTGATCGATAAAATCATCTATATAGAAACAATTGCAACAAAGTTGCAAAAACTGTCTAATTGCAATGTTCCTTATCCAATGACAAGAAGTGGCTAACAATGAATTGTTGTCAGAATACTCATTGAGAAACAGTGTGGTCCAGATAAAAATGGTCACCACATGTATTCAGTAGTAAATCCAAAAAAGAAACCTCAACTTGGTTAAAATTGGATTAAAACTTAAGATATATATCATTGTCATTGCAATATTCAATTAGTTTATGTAGATAAAAAACAGGTCTACACCAAATAATTAGCAAATCATTAACAGAATGTTAGCATGAAATTATATTAAGGTACCTCCAAAGGTTCAGGACTCTTCCCATGATCGTATATTAAGGTTGGCATTCAAGAGGGCAAATTTTGCTCCCATCACCATCCGGAAACTTTAGAGGTAAAACGTACCACCAAGCAAGAATAAATTATGATACAAAAGAAAACCAAATAGAATCTAAAATATATTTTTTAAGATGTTTATCA